CCTACTTCCTCCCTCCCCTCTGATGGGGGGGGGATGGTTAGGGGGTGGGGAGGTTCATTGTCGGATTGTCATGTATATATATATATATATATATATATATAATGTTCTTGCTCGGGGGATATCTGTCAATGGGTAGGTGATGGGATGATTTGTAGGATTGGGGTTTTAGTGTTTGTTTCGTTCGGGCGTAGATTGGGATGGGGGGGAGGGATTGAGCATGCTTGGATGAAGGAAGGTAGGCAGGCACACAAGTTGAGGATGTGGACGAAAGTGGGTTAGCGGCAGAAGCGGGGACCACCAGGGATGGTTGACTAGCGCAACACGTGTGCGCGCGCATCTCCTCTCGCGAATTTTCTTCCAAGATTGTTCCTGCGATCTCCGTCCCATCGTTCACAGCAGGTAGCATCAGTAGCAGCGAGAAGCCACGCATCTGTTCCATGCGTCTTACGACCGGTTACATGCCCATTGAATCGATGTAAATACGATCCATATTCACGTCAGGAACCAATTTGTCACGCTTATTCGAACCGTTTCCAACTTCGACATAAGCCCTCTAAGAATGTTCCAAGAACGACACCGTGAGCGTTGAATTGACCTGGCTGCCTCTTTTTGTGGCTACTCGGGTCTCATTGCGTTCATACAACTCCTCGCGTGATAGCCGGGCGTTTGCATACTGCTGTCACATACCGCCAGTCTAGCAACCAACCCGCATCGTAATCAAATGGAACTGAACTGTCCTGGTTTGGAATAGTCTTACAGTCGACAAATACTGTCTTCGATAGCTCCTCGTACCGTCTTCCAAGCGGTGGGACAGTAGAGCAGCTCCTCCCTTGGACGCAGAGACGGATGAAGAGATAAGTACGCATAACATGAGGACTAGGCTTTCCTTCAGGTGTTGCAGCATCGTTTGAAGGCCAACGATTCATGGGCTTGGGCTTGTGAGGGGGACTTTGAAGAGCACAGATTGTCACCTACTAGGATGTTGTTGAGTTTGTGGATGACGAGGCAAAAACACAGTAGCTAACAGTAGAGTACTGATAAGCATGTTATATCGTGCCAATCACGACAGCAAAAGAATACCAGGGCCGGCCATAATGCCGTGAGCCAGTTACAACACAATTACAACACAAGCCATCCCGTCCTTGGAAGTGAATGGTGGACATGGCTTGATCTAGTCAAGCAACAAAAAGAAAGTAGGGAAACTCCCCCGGGAAGGCTCGAACTTCCAACCTCTCGATTTGCCAGGGGTAACAGTCGAACGCGCTAGCCAATTGCGCCACGGAGGATCGTTAAGATCGGACGCGGTTTTGCGTCGTGGATTTGACTTTCGATGCAGAAATCGGCAAATTAGAAGGTTATATACTTGGTCAGCGTACATATCAGCAGTGCAGTCCTTATGTGAAGGCTCTTTTGCGGCAATCTCGTTGTTTCGAGATGGTGGGGTAGAGGGGCATGGTCTGACGGAGCGGGGCACAATTTATTCGTTGCCGGATCCATGCATTAGATTGCAAACGTCTACTCTAGGACACTAGAGTTGGCGCTAAGGGATATAGAAGTCATGATGATGTGGTTTTCATGTAGATATGGGGTGAAGCAACAATTCTTTTGTGTACACTTGACAGTTTCTCAGCTGAGCCTTCTAATGGCTAAAAATGAGCAGATGCTAGCGCCCTACACACCTTCTTTAGGAGTGGATGGAAAGTGGAACAATACAATTAGCTAGGCCCAGGGCTACTACACAAGTCTACCTACGTCACTACTTGCCGTTCAAGCAGAGCTCAAGGCCTGATTGTTTGTGATGGAAGATTGATAGGTACACAGCTAACAGTACAACTCCCAATGCTTGAGGCATCTCCTTAGATCTTTGACACTACACCAGGACCGGAATAATGCGACTGTTGCTATAATTAGGATATCTGTAATAATTGAACAAGTCTATACAATTTTTATTGACAAAAAGGAAAGATTCAAATCTGCCATTGACTTTGATCCCATATCATCGCATAGTGGCAGCCCAGCATCGCACGTACCCAGTTCCGGCGCACATCATTGAGAGATTAATGGGTGGGTTCGAGGTAATCTTACTAATCATAGGCCGGCCTAGTAATGAAGGACTTCCTTGAGCTTTTGTCGAACTTATTAATAAACCAATAGATTCCGGTATTTCGCTTGCAATAACCGATAGAAGAACTCCGGCTACCAAAATCCTATAAAGTCTACAGTGGAATTGAACCAATGAAAATACATGTTCGTTTATGGAAGCGGAGATTGAACTCTAGAATGAAAAACACGGAACAGACAATTTACCTTCAATACTGAGGTATTCGTACATCTCGACATCACTTCACTCCAAGGAGGTTCGATAGTATAGTAACGATGCAACCCCGCGCATCGGAACATCGCCAAGCGAGCCATGCAGCAAGCATGACGATTCATGCACCTCACAATCTTTGGCGTCTTGGTCCCAGGTTTCGAGCTTCCTCTTGCGATACAGATTTGCAGTAACTTCAGCGGGGCATGATACCGCGACTGCATTTCATTGCAATACACTACGGTACAAAACCGGTTTACAGTAGCTATATTTATCTAAAGTAGACTAAGAAGTAGTTTAGGTAGAAGAAGTAAACCTAAATAGGGTTTACTATACTATGTATTCTACTTTTACTTCTACTTCTATTAATCTACTAGTATTACGTAGTAATAACTAGTTTCCTACTAACTATCTAAGTATTTTACCCCTCCTTTCTTTAATCTTCTTTACCACCTCCACCACCTCTACTATAACAATAAGGCAGAATTGCCTGCCCATTGTTCTATGCTAAGTCAGGCCCAATAAAGGCCCGACTTACTAATGTATATAGAGAACAGCTCGCCTATAGTTAGGATAGGCATGTTCTTCTTATCCTTTCGTACAAGACCTATAGGTGTAGGAATCTTATCCTTTTCTATACAGACGCGCACTCCTATATGCCTTTAAGTTATATAGGATACCTTTTAGATACCTTACCTACCTAAGTTATTATATTATAAGAAGAATATTATCCTAGCTAGTAATAGTATTTAAGAATATTATATTTATTGTTATTTTAAGCTACTAATTTAGTTCTAGTAGCTACCTAACCCTGTAACTTTATAGTTAGAATAGCTATTAGAACTTCTAATAACTAAAGCCTATAGGCTTAGACTTCTAGACCTATAAGTAGTACTAGATTACCTTTAGAAAAATCGCGTTAGATTGCGTTAAGGTAGAGACCTAGAGACTACTAAAAGCCTAGAGGAATTAGAGGTAAAGCTAATATCCTCCTATAACTAAACCCCCCTAAAGAAAAGATTTATTATTCTTATTAACTATAAAATATTAGATAAAGGTAAAGGAAGGGTATCTAGTTTAGCCACTTTTAAAAGCCTATTTACTAATAGAAAGAAATTAGATAAGGAAGACTTAATTAATAACGCCCTCCTTAAAGGACCTGCTTCCTATCTATCTCTTAAGGTACCTTATGCTCCTAGGAAATCTTAAAGCAACACCTCCCTTAAAGATAAATATATATTAACCCTATCTAAAAAGGAGAGGTTAGAGGAATAAGTTAAGTAACTTACTAATTAGTTATACAACACCTCCCTCTATAAGGAGATATAGGGTACTACCTAACTAGGCTAGTCTTTAGCTTCTATATTAAACCCTATAGTATATACTATAAAAGCTAAGAGATAATCTAAAAAGACGCTAAATATCTCTATACTTAGTAATAGTGCTAATCCTACTTTTAGATAATAGCAAGCATCTTTTTAGGATAGGCTAGAGATTAACGCTAATTACTACCCCTCTTCTAGAGCTTAGATAGCGTTAGTCTAGGAACACTGCTTAGGACTAGCAAGAGAATACTTAAAGCTACGTTACCTATCTAATTCCCTAAGTCTTTAATTCTAAAAAGCTAAGGAAATAATTACCCTCCTTTAAACTTACTTTATTACTAGAAATAAGATAGCTAAGAGTTAGACTATATTTAACTGCCTATATATAACTAATATAGAGATATTCCCTGCTTTTAAGTTATAATTCTAGAGTCTTGCTATTAGAGGAGAAGTACCCTAATTAGAGTAGTATTACTACCTCTAGATAAAGATTACACCTTCCCTAAGGATGCTAAACCTTGCTTTCTAACAGAATTAGTATAATAATTTTAAGACTATAGTAGATTATCTTACTACTTTTAATATAGAACGCTACCTATACCCTACCTTATCTGCTCCTACCTAGACTACTCTATTATCTAGAAAAGGACTAACCCCCTTCTAACACTCTAGAAACTAGTCCTATTTAGACGCTAATTAGAAACCCTATAATAGACCTTTAATAGCTAAACCTTATATACCCTACTTGTAATAATAAGGCACTACCCCTTAAAATAATTAACCCCTATCTACTACTCTAGCTACTCCTAGCGCTACTATAACAGGAACCCTAGTAACTTGCTATAATTATAGAAAGCCTAGGCACTTCTCTAGTAACTGCCCTAAACCCCCTAGGATTTAGGCTATAGATATAGAATAGGTTACTAAGAATTCTAAGGAAGAAGATACTGCTAAATTAACTAATTTAGATAGTGTCGCAATACAATATCTCATCAATATCCCACCATATATATCAACTTATCGGGGTGGGGTAAAAGTGTTCACTTTTGCCCCATTCTCGGTTTGCGACAGATAGCTATTAGACAGGAAACAATAACGCCTAGAAGGATTCTCCTTCCTAGGCCTAACTTAATATAACCTATTAAACCTTTCCTTAACTAAATTATTTTTTAGTTCCTATTTACTTACACGTATAACCCTATACCTTAATAGATCTAGTGTTTACCTAAACGCTTTAGTAGATACTAGGGCCTAAGGTTACTTATTTCTTAATTTAAAAATTACTTATAATATCTCTTCTACGCTTAGGGTACCTATCTAAAAGCTACTATACAAGCTTACTATTAAAGGGTTCTAGGATTAGATTACCTCCCTAGTTGCCTACTATATTTAGCTTTATATAATAGTTAGTAGCTAAAAGGTTTATAACTACCCCTTTATAATAGTAGACTTAGGTTCTTAGGATTGTATTATTAGATAACACTAGCTAAAATAGTTCTAAATCCTAATTAATATAGATAAATCTTAACTAATCTAGCTAGAGAAATATCCTCTAACCTACAACCCCGCACCTCCTATTCTAGTACGACTCTACTAGTAAGTGCTATCTACTCTAGTTACCTACAATATCTTGCAAAGAGACGCCCTTTAGGATTAAGAGGAGAACTAGAACTAAAACAGTCCTAGTTTAATTAACTAGATACGTAGTATACTTAAAATTCTAGCTACTTATAGGGCTACTACTAAACCTATTACGCTACCTACCCTAGTCTAATCGCTAACTATTACCCTACCTGTAAAATTCTAAATTACTACTATTTCTGCTAATACTTTCTATTTTAATATAAAAAAATCTTCTAATAAATTCTTTACTACTAGCCTATATAAGATTAAGCGTAGGATCCAAACCCTATCTAAACAGGATACTCTTAACACCCGCTTGTTAGATTAGAAGCTCCTATCTAACTATAACTCCTATTAGGACGTCTTTAATAAGGCTAAGGCTAACAAACTTCCTATCTACTAGCCTTATAACTATAAGATAGTCCTAGAGGAACCCCTTCTAAACTACTAGAGTCCCCTCTATTATTAAAATACTAAGGAACTCTAGGCTACTAAGGAATATATACAAGAGCACCTATAGGAAGGTTTTATTAAGACTAGTTAGAGCCTATTTACCTCTCCTATCCTATGCGTTAAGAAGCTAAATAGAGGCCTTAGGATCTATATAGATTACTATAAGCTTAATAGCTTAACGTAAAAGGACGCGTATCTAATACCCTGCATAGATAATCTATTATCCTAGCTAGCTAAAGTAAAAATCTTTACTAAGCTAGATATTTGTGCTGCCTTTAATAAGATCTAAATAGACCCTAACTTAGAGGAGTACACTACTTTCTACACTAGATATAGTGCCTACAAATATAAAGTCCTACTATTTAGGCTATATAATAGACCTGTAACCTATTAGCGTTATATAAATAATATACTAATAGATTATTTAGATAACTTCTATATCGCCTATCTAGATAATATCCTAATCTACTTTAAAAACCTTGCTACTTACAAGGACTATATTTAAAAAGTCCTTAAGCGTCTTTATTCTACTAGATTACAGGCTAATATTAAGAAAAGCGAATTCTATACAACCTATACCTGTTACCTTAGATATATCCTAACTAATAAAGGCTTAGAGGTAGACCCTAATAAAGTTAAAGTACTCTAAAACTAGTCTACTCCTAAGACAATAACTAGAGTAAAGTCCTTCCTAGGATTTACTAGATTCTACTAGCAATTTGTGGAAAACTTCTCTAAGATAGCTAAGCCCTTAACTACTCTCTAGAGTCCTGCTACCCTATTTGTATAGACTTTAGAATGCTAACAAGCCTTTAACTAGCTTAGGAATACCCTGCTGTGAAGGGCTTAGGCTTATGCCCAAGCCTGGGTCTAACACAAGACAGACTGAGTCCAACACCACTACTAAGCGAACACACTAGACACCTATAAAAAGGCGTAGAGGGCTTACCTCTCCTTTAAGATACTAAATACTATTATTAACGCTTATTGTATTCTCCCTTAAGGCTAGTCTATAATATTTTAGTATCTTCTTCTAAACATACTATAATAGTAATAAGAGATAGACGCGCTAGATATTTAGAATAACTAGGTGCAACCTAATATAGTAGAAAGGCTAATATAACAGGTCTATAGATTAATAGAATAATAGGCTTAAGACTCTACTATAATAGCTATACTACGTTAATAGAACAAGGAAATACGCAATTAGATTCTATCCTAACCCTCCTCTAAGCCCGCTAGGTTTAATAACATGCTACCTCTGCCCTCTCCCGCCTTATACTATAAACCTTTCCTAGTTAGCTTGCTATATAATAGCACTAAGGTAAACTTCTCCTCCTAGTAAATAACTATAGAGTTTAAACTATATATAGATAAGGTCTTTATTAGGGATAAGGAGGCAAGGTTTATATATATTTAGTCCTAGTTATTGCCTATAGTCTAGCGCGCTATAGCACTATACTTTAAGGATAGGGCACGCAAGCGTTAGGATATAAGCAGGTTTCTTAACTACCTAGCGTTCTATTATAGTAACTATTATAGGTAGGAGTGCACCTAAGTTACGTTAGAACACTTATATTAGGGCTAAAATTAGCCTTTTATAGAGTTCTTTGTAAATTTTGTGCAGCTCCTTATATAGTTAGGAGGTTTACACTAGGATAATAAATAGAAGCTTTTATAACTTTAGTAATCTCTTAATAGTTATATGCGCTTAGTTTCCCTTAATAGGGGAGTCTCTAGGATAAACTACAACGTAGCTATAGAGGAATACAAGACAATTGCAGTAGATATTAAAATAGCCTCTCTAGAACTAGGCTTTCTTT